CACATGCGGAAAAGATAAATCAAACATAACATAACCAAGGACATTCCACAATGAAGTCCTTTCTCATGTAACCAAACCCTAAACCGCGAATTGACAATTTCCTTCCATTGTCCCTTTTACCTCACATGGCCCTAACCACAAAGGCTAAAAGACCAGTGATGCGACATGTAATACATTGGCCCTAGGCTGCAATCTCGTTCCTCCGGGTATTACAATCGGTGGTCACGGCCCTAGGCTGCAATCCCGTTCCTCCGTGACTAGCGATATCTGGAAGTGTCAACCGCTTTCTACACTTGTTAGAACGTTACATGATCCTCTTGATCACTTGTAATGCCTAACTTCACACTCAACATAAAAATTTACCTTTGACCCGCATTTATCTACACAGATCACACGCGAATCAGCTTCCTCTTGAAATCCTGCATCCACAAAGGTTAGCGGCAAGTACAAACACAATCATCCCATAACTCATGCAGCACGCAATCAAACATCATGCACAAACAATCAAAGATACTTACCCAAATTCCAAAAATTCTAGCAAGAACCTCTACGACTATAAAGCATAAGAATAAAAAAGCAATGTGTGCCCTACTCATCTAGCACACGACAAACATCACCAAGACTCACCTTATTCAAACGGTTAGGACTTAGAGTTGGATTTAGACTTAGAACAGATCTAGGTTCCTCGACTACTCCACGATCTAACAAATATTCCCTTTCCTTAAAACGGACAGAGTTTCGGCTTGAATCTCGATCATTCCAACCATCAYAACCACAAAGGGTTGGATTCAAGATCACAAGACAAAACTAAGTCAGATAGAAAAATTAGGATCGGAACGCCTTACCCTAAAAATTCATGGTATTACTGGATGGTTCCCGACAACAGACCACGGACTGGATCACGATCACGAAATATTTTGGTAAGAGGTTTGGAAATGTTTTTATGTAGAAAATGGGAGCTACTAAGGTCCTATTTATAGGGCTAAGCAAGCAGGTAAGCACAGTAGGACCGTCAGAAGTGTGTGTCGTACTTCCCAATGAGTCGTTGCACACGGTCGCGACACTTCGTGCTTGCAGATTTGTCGTGCTTGTGGATTTATCGTGCTTCCGATGACTCGTCACACAAGATCGCGACACTTCATGCTTACGAGATTTGTCATGCTTGCGGATTTATCGTGCTTGTAGATTTATCGTGCTTCCGATGACTTGTCACACAAGATCGTGACACCTCGTGCTTACGGAATTTGTCGTGCTTGCGGATTCCAAGCACGTCAATCCCGAACAGATGTGTCGTGCTTCCGTAAACTTATATATTTTTGTAAAAATATCAAGTTTGAAAGCACCTTGCCACCTTATGCTTCTCGTTACGTCGTGTTTCAGGCCACCTCGTGCTTAAAATCCCGTCATGCTTGACAATTTTTTTTCCATCAACTAGGTCTTGGCTCGATCATCTCTCGTAACTGTTTTGATCTCTTGACAGGGTCATTACA